AGGCACATGAGTGTAAGGTGACAAGGAACAACACAGTGGGACAATCTCAGGACATCTCCCCATAATGTGCTAAATCAGTTGCAAAGACCAAATGGTACACATAAGATGGAGAGATTTGGCAGATGCCAACCTGACCAGGTGATCAAGGTGAACATAAGCACCGTTAGGATGGGTGAACACCATGCGTGCCCTGGTGTGAAGCACTGGGAAGAGAACAGCAACATTTCCCAGGTCCTCCTACCGAGGAAATGTGAGCTGAGTCTGGTCTTGAGGAAGCCCAGAGAGACCCGCGGGGCGGGTCATTCAACAGAACGAAGTAGGGCAAGGATATGAAAGAAAGGGAAAGTCAGCAATAACAGTTTGATACTGGAGAACAAGGAAGAGACACAGCAACAAAGTGCACATTCCTGGTGGGTAATTCCAACCAGAAAGGAAAAGGAGATGTTTCGGATCCGTTGGAAAATTTGAGCATGGCCCATGGATAGAGCAGTGGTGGTGTGTCTACACTGATTTTCTAAATCAAAGGACAGTATGTTGTTATTGCAGGAGTGTCTTTGTTGTAGGGAAAACCACACCAGTGAGTTTATGGTGTACACACATTGCTTTCAAGTGATTCAGAAAAGAAAAAAAAAAGGTGATAACAGAATAAAATGTACAGAAATTAGTTAATAAATCAAATGTAGTAAAGTATTAATTGTTGGGGTATCTGGGTAAGGAAGAAAATCATGTATATTTGAAATGATATCAGATTAATAATTGTAAAAATAAAATTAATTCAAAGGCATTGAATTTCTCAATTTTTAAAATGAGGTTGGATAGTGCTGAATACATCTTTGTTATTGATCACATTTTTTTAAAGATTTTATTTATTTATTTGACAGAGAGACACAGCGAGAGAGGGAACACAAGCAGGAGGAGTGGGAGAGGGAGAAACAGGCTTCCCGCGGAGCAGGGAGCCCAACGCGGGGCTCGATCCCAGGACGCTGGGACCATGACCTGAGCCGAAGACAGACGCTTAACGACTGAGCCACCCAGGCGTCCTATTGATCACATTTTATTACCTTTTCTCAGATAGACATTTTGTATAATTTAATGGGAAAAACAGTGAGATAAAGATATATTTAGATAAATACTGAAATAACTCACATAGAGCAAATCTGTACTTCAAAAAAGCTGAAGGAGGTGTTTCATACTGAAGGAAAATTATACCAGAGGAAAACACACAAAAAAGAATTATCAGAATTGGCAATCATGTGGATACATGTGTAATCTATATTTTATCATTTCTTATTTTCTCTAAGAGACAGCTGGCTCATGACAGCAAAAATAATAGCATTAATTGTGGGTAATAACATATGTAGAATAAAAATTTATAAAAACAATATCATAGGGCGCCTGGGTGGCTCCGTTGGTTAAGCGACTGCCTTCGGCTCAGGTCATGATCCTGGAGTCCCGGGATCGAGTCCCGCATCGGGCTCCCTGCTCGGCAGGGAGCCTGCTTCTCCCTCTGACCCTCCCCCCTCTCATGTGCTCTCTGTCTCTCTCATTCTCTCTGTCTCAAATAAATAAATAAAATCTTTAAAAAAAAAACAATATCATAAAACATTATAAGGTATATGGAATTATACTATTGTAAAATTCTTGCATAATCTGTGAAATGGGTCAACAGTAGTTCTAACTGGAATGTAATACGTTGGAAATCCACTTTAAAACAGCTACAATCAGCAATGTTCACAAAAGCCAAACTGTGGAAAGAGCCGAGATGCCCTTCAACAGATGAATGGATAAAGAAGATGTGGTCCATATACACAATGGAATATTACTCAGCCATCAGAAAGGATGAATACCCACCATTTGCATTGACATGGATGGAACTAGATAGGATTATGCTAAGTGAAATAAGTCAAGCAGAGAAAGACAATTACATATGGTTTCACTTATATGTGGAATATAAGAAATAGTGCAGAGGACCATAGGGGATGGGAGAGAAAACTGAATGGGAAGAAATCAGAGAGGGAGACAAACCATGAGAGACTCTGGACTCCAGGAAACAAACTGAGGGTTACAGAAGGGAAGAGGGTGGGGAATGGGGTAACTGGGTGATGAGTATTAAGGAGGGCATGTGTTGTGATGAGCACTGGGTGTTATATGCAACTAATGAATTGTTGAACACTAGGTCAAAAACTAATGATATATTATATGTTGGCTAATTGAACATAATAAAAAATAAATAAAATAAAACAACTACGACAACCACTAAAAATAGTTATACCTTAACACCATTAATTTTAAAAATACCAGACTGTCCCAAAAGGAGGCAAAAGGAAAAAGAGAAAAAAGCAGATAGGACAAAGAAAAAAAACTGAGTCCCCAGTTTCTGTATTTCAATGATAAACTAGAAAATCTGAGTAACAAGTTTATAGATGGCAGATGTAAACCCTCCTTAATATTACTTCATTTATCCAATTGACCTTATTTACATCAGCATTTTGAAGTTATAACCTGAACTCTGCACATCAATTTTCTACATGCATTCATACACAAGCCTAAAATCTGTTAGGTCTGAGAAAATAAGCAGACTCTTCTGTACATGGTTGAGATGGTCAGTGACTCTGCTCATCCAAAGCTTGGCTCAGATTCCTAAGAGATCCCGTCTTTTTTCCCGCATTGTCAAGGACTCTAGGACACAGAGATCTACAGTGACTCTCTCCACTGTGGTCCCACCCAGAGACAGTCCCCAACACATGTCCACCAGCCACCAGCCCAGCCAAAGCGCAGGCAGAGTTAGTACCTGTCCTCTACAACCTTACTACACAAACCCAGTTCTGAGTTCCTCTCCTGTTGGAGACAACTTGTCTCCTGGTTTTTGCCCTGAGACTGAACGTAAGAAACCACTCACCTGGCTGGTCCTGCTCCAGCGTTCCGTGCAGCGAAGTGTCAATCAGGAAGAGCCACAGTTATAGGGACAGGGTCCCTAGACCTCCTCTCCCCACAGAGACACCATTACCATGTCAGTGTGTCTCAGGAACACTGTCTGCCTGGAGAAGCTGGGGCGTCTCTAATGAGAAGCAAATTTTCTCCCCATTGCAAGTCTTCACCAGCCACTTCTGGTAATTAATGGTAATTTTTGGTAATTAATTTAAAGTTCCTGAAAAGCTGCTAAACAACAGGCAGAGAAGAGTTTCTATGTTCCCGGTGGAAGAATCTAAGTTCAGAGTCAAAGTTGCCGTCTGTGGTGGAATTGAAACTCAATGTATGGACTCTGGAAAACAAACTGAGGGTTTCAGAAGGGAGGGTGGGTAGGGGGATGGGGTAGCTGGGTGATGGGTATTAAAGAGGGCACGTGTTGTGATGAGCACTGGGTGTTATGCACAACTAATGAATCGTTGAACACTACGTCAAAAGCTAACAATGTACTATATGCTGGCTAATTGAGCATAATAAAAATAGTAATAATAATCATAAATAAAACCATAAATCATCAAAAAAAAAGAAACTGAATGTTGGGTCAAGGGTTCCTCTTATAGTATTTCCAAATGGGCATTTCCTGTTTCCAGAATCAGGCTGACACCATGACTAGCTCATACTGAACATCTCCATTTGATCTGGAAACTGGTCTCTCCCTTGACTTAAATAACACAATTCCTGTTACTTAGGGCCCCACGTCTTCTACATCTGGAGAATATCCCACTTGAAGCTAGTCTATCTTACCTCAGAACCTGATGTCCATGTGACTCCCCAAGAGCTCATTATATGCTTCCCAAATCACCCAGAGAGCACTTCTCCCTTGTCCCTCATCGGTCAACCAGGCTGTCCTTTATTTTCAGAGTTTGCCCTGGGAAGATGTATTCCTGGATGTACAGAAAAGATTCAAGGGGAAGTAAAATATAGCACAGATAGAGGGAAAGCATCAGAATTATTTAAAATCAAGAGAAGGGCCAAAAGCCAAATAGAAAATTGGGCAAAATAATAAAAAGAAAATTCACAAGATAGATGAGATGACCCTGAATCATATGTATGTTATTTATGGCAAGTCAGTCGATAAGTTATTTTTCAAGATTGGTTTGGACATTCTATATTTTTTGCATTTCCATATTATTTTTAGAGTAAGCTTGCCAATTTCAACAATAGCAACAACAAAGACAACACAAGTGGGATGGATCATGACTGGGATTTGTCAACTCCTTAGATCAACCAGGGGCATATATAGAGTCAGAGGGTGCGTGGAAAATCTCTGTACCTTCCTCTCACTTTTGTGGTAGATGTAAAACTTCTCTGAAAAATAGTTTGTTGCAAGTTTTTAAAATACTCAACAAAAATTAAGTTCTAGATAGTGTCAATAAGGCATGAACAATTTCTTATAGAGGCAACAGAAAACCAGACAACATTTAATTAAGACAATGAGGTATTTACGTATATTTGAAAATGTTGGATTAAACTGTGTAACATTTGGAAAAGAGAATGCTGAAGTTTTTTAAAAGGCTATTGGAGTGGCATATTCTAAAGGATAAGTACGGATTTGGAAATGTATTTTTTTTATTAGACCATGAAACTGATCAAATGTAAATTTGTACAAACTAAAAATGGAAAGTTTGGGTGGGTGCTAAATGTAGTGATAAGCAATAGAATCTAGAATCTATAGATGCATTCTACCATCGCTTCTAAGTCAAAATTGTCAAAGGATTGTGGTTCCTTCAAATCCAAGCTCCTACTTCCCAAGACACTCACTAAGAAAATAAAGTCATGCTTTCTAAAGTGTTCATCCATTTAGTGTATTCTTCTATCAAAAGCTAAGATGGGAATTTTAAAGGTGGGGATGGGGGCTTAGGCACAGATGGTGCATCCACAGTCATACCGCTAGGACTCTGTAAAGGGACAGGCCTGAAATTACAGCCCCCACCACCATGAATTACAGTTTACAGGACAGGGTGTGCTGGGAGGAGGATGGCCCACTGTGACCAAGGAGAAGGCTTTGTGAGATTACTTGAGGTGTTCCCCCGTCAGGCGAGCACACCCCTGATCCTGTACTCTTCGTTGACCCAGAGAAGATGGGAAATGGTCAGGTGGGAATTTTTCTCTTCCACAGCTGTGAGCAGCATCCGAATCTCCTCGTCAAAAGGAGATTTGCAAAGCCTGGGAAAATAGAAATAAAGTTTTCTGGACTCTGCACATGATTGTTCGCCTCTCTACATCCCAGTGCCTACTTCCAAGCCATTCTTCTCGAGAAGTGACTGGCAAGATCGTTTTGAGCAATGCCTGTAATTTGGGTCTGCCACACTGGGAGAGAGGGTACTACTGACATCTAGTGGGTACGAGCCAGAGATGGTGTTAAAACACCCTACAAAGCACAGGGCAGCCACTCCCCACGACAAAGAATGATCAAAGCCAAAATGTCAATAGTGCTAAGATCAAGAAACCATGATATATACACACATACTTGCAGCCCACACTTGTGTGTGTGTGAGTGCGTGTGACACTCCATAAAACTGACATCCATGGAAACAAAGATACTGGAGCATTTCATTTACCAATTCATCTTATCTACCCAGAAGAGTTTCCAGTGCCCAGGAGAAGCCGTGAATGATATCTATGCTATATGCCTTCTGCCATCATTTACTGAGTGCTTGTTTTGGGCAAGCCATTGGTAATAGTACTTTACATATGCTATTCCAACTGGTCACCTCGATTCTTTGACGTGGGAAATGCTATTATCCTTATGTCACACTGGAGGAGAGGTGAGGCACCTCACAATTCACCCAGCTAGCCCAGGGCACTTGGGACTCCATTACTGGTCTTCTGGAGGCCAGAGACTCTACTTCAGAGTAGCATGTCCTACCAAGTCCTGTCAAGCTCTTTGGTCAAGCTCACACCCGTCAGCGCCACTGGACACTCCCACAAGTATCAGGCTGGGTCAACGTTCAGCCTTGCTTTCTTTCAGCAGACCCCGTGATTTTACCCCTTCCCATTTCCTTCCCAGGATGCTGATATCCAAAAAAATGAACTCTGACATTCAAGCAAATCATAGCCAGACATGGGCGCCTGGGTGGCTCAGTTGGTTGAGCGACTGCCTTCAGCTCAGGTCATGATCCTGGAGTCCTGGGATCGAGTCCCGCATCGGGCTCCCGGCTCGGCGGGGAGCCTGCTTCTCCCTCTGACCCTCCCCCCTCTCATGCTGTTTCTCTCTCGCTCGTTCTCTAATAAATAAATAAATAAAATCTTTAAAAAAAAATCATAGCCAGACATACCACAACTGCTCAATATTGTAGTTTGGATGCTTCAGTGCCTCACCAAGAGATGCCACTCCATTATCTTCCAGGAAATTTGACCCCAGATCAAGAAGGGACAGGGATTTGTTGCACAGAAGGACTTGGAAGATGTAGTCACAGGCCACAGAGGTGAGGCAAGAGCACATCAGTCTGCAAAGACATATACATACTCAACCGGTCAACCCGCTCAAGCTCTTCTGGTAATATTTTCATGAAGCCACATGCAAAACTTGCAAGTCATTCCTCATATTCCATGGTCATCTGAGAAAAGTAAGAGGATTAGAACATGCGGCAGCTGCAGAAACACAGAAGCAAAAATGTGGACTATGGAATAGGGCTTCTCAAATTCTGGAATCAATTCCATTTACAATAGCACCAAAAAGACCATAAGATACCTAGGAATAAACCTGACCAAAGAGGTAAAGGATCTATATCTAGAAACTACAGAACACTCATGACAGAAATTGAGGAAGACACAAAGTTGGAAAAACATTCCATGCTCATGGATTAGAAGAATAAACATTGTTACAATGTCTATGCTTCCCAGAACAATCTACTTTCAAAGCAATCCCTATGAAAATGCCCTTGACATTTTTCACGGAGCTGGAACAAACAATCCTAAAATTTGTATGGAACCAGAAAAGACCCTGAATCGCCAGCAGAATGTTGGAAAAGAAAACTGAAGCTGGGGGCATCACAATGCCTGACTTCAAGCTATATTACAAAGCTGTGATCATCAAGACACAAAAACAGACCCATAGATCAATGAAACAGAATAGAGACCCCAGAAATGGACCCTCAACTCTATGGTCAACTAATCTTTGACAAAGCAGGAAAGAATATCCAATGGGAAAAAGACAGTCTCTTCAATAAATGGTGCTGGGAAAATTGGACAGCTGTTTACAGAAGAATGAAACTGGACCATTCTCTTACACCATACACAAAGATAAACTCAAAATGGATGAAAGACCTCAATGTGAGACAGGAATCCATCAAAATCCCAGAGGAAAACATAGGCAGTAACCTTTTCAACATTGACCACAGCAACTTCTTTGAAGACATATCTCTAAAGGCAAGGGAAACAAAAGCAAAAATGAACTTTTGGGACTTCATCAAGATAAAAAGCTTCTGCACAGCAAAGGAAACAGTCAACAAAATTAAGAGGCAACCCATGAAATGGGAAAAGATATTTGCAAATGACTCTACAGATAAAGGGCTGGTATCCAAATTATATAAAGAACTTCTCAAACTCAACACCCAAAAAGCAAATAATCAAGTCAAAAAATGGGCAGAAGACATGAAAAGACACTTCTCTGAAGAAGACATACAAATGGCTAACAGACACATGAAAAAATGTTCATCATCATTAGTCATCAGGGAAATTCAAATCAAAACCACATTGCAATACCACCTTACACCAGTTAGAATGGCAAAAATGGACAGGGAAAGAAACAACAAATGTTGGAGAGGTTGTGGAGAAAGGGGAACCCTCTTACACTGTTGGTGGGAATGCAAGTTGGTACAGCCACTTTGGAAAACAGCGTGGAGGCTCCTCAGAAAGTTAAAAATAGAGCTACCCTATGACCCAGCATTTGTATTCCTGGGTATTTACCCCAAACACACAGATGTAGTGAAAAGAAGGGCCATATGCACCCCAATGTTCATAGCAGCAATGTCCACAATAGCCAAACTGTGGAAAGAGCTGAGATGCCCTTTAACAGATGAATGAATAAAGAAGATGTGGTCCATATATACAATGGAATATTACTCATCCATCAGAAAGGATGAATACCCAACTTTTACATCAACATGGATGGGACTGGAGGAGATTATGCTGAGTGAAATAAGTCAAGCAGAGAAAGTCAACTATATATGGTTTCACTTATTTGTGGAACATAAGGAATAACATGGAGGACATTAGGAGAAGGAAGGGAAAAATGGGCGGGGGGAATTGGAGGGAGAGATGAACCATGAGAGACTATGGGCTCCAAGAAACAATCAGGGTTTTAGAGGGGAGAGGTCTGGGGGAATGGGTTAGCCCGGTGATGGGTATTAAGGAGGGCACATATTGCATGGAGCACTGGGTGTTATATGAAAACAATGGATCATGGATCACCACATCAAAAACTAATGATGTATTGTATGGTGACTAACATAACATAATAAAATGAAAAAAAAAAAAAAAAAAGAACTTCTCAAACTCAACACCCAAAAAACGAAGAATCCAATCAAGGAATGGGCAGAAGACATGAACAGACACTTCTCCAAAGAAGACATACAAATGGCTAACAGACACATGAAAAAATGCTTAACATCACTTGCCATCAGGGAAATTCAAATCAAAGCCACAATGAGATACCATATTACAGCAGTTAGAATGGCTAAAATTAACAAGACAGGGAACAACAAATGTTGGCAAGGATGTGGAGAAAGGGGAACCCTCTTACACTCTTGGTGGGAATGCAAGCTGGTACAGCCACTCTGGGAAGCACTATGGTGGTTCCTCAAGATGTTAAAAATAGAGCTACCTTATGACCCAGCAATTGCACTACTGGGTATTTACCCCAAAGATACAGATGTAATGAAAAGAAGGGGCACGTGCACCCTGCTGTTCATAGCAGCAATGTCCACAATAACCAAACTGTGGAAAGAGCCGAGATGCCCTTCAACAGATGAATGGATAAAGAAGATGTGGTCCATATATACAATGGAATTTTATTCAGCCATCAGAAAGGATGAATACCTACCATTTGCATCAACATGGATGGAACTGGAGGGGATTATGCTAAGTGAAATAAGTCAAGCAGAGAAAGACAATTATCATATGGTTTCACTCATATGTGGAACATAAGCAATAACATGGAGGAGTAAAGGGGAAGGGAGGGAAAAATGAAGGGGTGGGGGTAGAATCAGAGAGGGAGACAAACCATGAGAGTCTCTGGACTCTGGGAAACAAATTGAGAGTTGTGGAAAGGGATGTGGGTGGAGGGATGGGGTAACTGGGTGATGGGTGTTGAGGGGGACATGTGTTGTGATGAACACTGGGTGATATGCGCAACTAATGAATCATTAAACACTACATCAAAAACAAATGATGTATGGGGCGCCTGGGTGGCTCAGTCGTTAAGCATCTGCCTTCGGATCAGGTCATGATCCCAGGTTCCTGGGATCGAGCCCCGCATCAGGCTCCCTGCTCCACGGTAAGCCTGCTTCTCCCTCTCCCACTCCCCCTGCTTGTGTTCCCTCTCTCACTGTGTCTCTCTGTGTCAAATAAATAAATAAAATCTTTTTAAAAAATGATGTACTATACAGTGGCTAACTGAACATAATAAAATAAATAAATAAAAATAAAAATAAAAAATCTTTAAAAAAAAAACAGAGCATCTCGGAGGCTAGAGCAGGTTTCTCAATCTCAGCACTACTGACATGTTGAACTGGAAAATTCTTTGATGTGGAAGCCATCCTGTGTGTTGTGGGATGTTGAGCAGTATCCCTGATCTCCACCCACTAGATAAGCCTGTAACATCCTCCCAAGGCAATGATGACCATCAAAAATGTCTCCAGACACGGACATTCCCTGAGGGACAAAACTGCCCTCAGTTGAGAACTAATGATCTGAGAAGAACCTGATTTGGGGTACCTCTCACCCCCAAAACAAAACTGAAGTCAAGCATATGGATGGTCTGTTCCAAAGAGGCAAAGTTTCCAGCAATAAACATCTATACCTGACCCCTGGTTTCCTAGATCTGTTCCCCAGTCCTTATGGTAAAGTAGAATATTAAAACCTTATGCAAATGGCATAATATGAAATAGAGCAAAATACTAGGGAATTCTGTAAGTTCCCCCTGAGTAGAGAGAGCTAGAGTAGAGAAAACAAATGTTATAATATGGAAACAGCTCAGATGAGGAACAGGATCTATAGAAAGCCTGTGTGTTCGAACAACTCTTATGCATGGAATGTGCCTCTGTCTCCTGAAGAATCTTGACCAAGTTACAATTAACAAAGTGTATGTGAATCCATTAATTATATTCGCAACTGTTACAGCAAAGGAGAGATGCTGAACTAGGAGAGAGAAGAGCATATTCTCCAAGTGGGTTTAATGAGTTGGTTTTGTTGATTGCTACCTCTATGACTTCCCCCTTTTGCTTTCTGCTGAAATATGGATTGAGCCTGCCTAGAAACCACCCAACCATGGGAGGAGCATCCCAGATAATTTTCAAGAGGAAGAAATGATTTGGAGCAAATGGCTTCCCTTATGACCTCCACGTGGTCACCTACCAGATTCACAAGAGCACACTTGTGATCATTAATATGATTTCTCATTTTAAGATGAGTATGAATATTTTCAGGGGGAAAAAACGGAGTTCTGATTTTGGCATGGTTGACGTTGAGGGCAGAACCAAGAAGAGGCAGGTCAGGTGTCCACAGGAAGTGAGGAAGAAGAAAAAGAAGAAAGAGAAAGAAGAAAAAGAAAGGAAAAGAAAAAGGAAAGAAAGCTGGAACAAACTTTCTGAGAGGTCTGGAGATGCTGAGGTGGAAAGTTTTCAACGTAGGAGACAAATGTTGATGGGGGAAGGAAATGGGCATATTCAAACTGTGAATTCCATGCTGGACGAGAAGCATCCCCATGCATGGACAACCCGAGACTTACCTCGGCTCGTCTGTGCTGTACACCAGGTGCTTCAGCATCTCACGCAGCTGCCTGACGTCCACGTGCGAGAGGCTCGTGCCAGGCAGGTTCAGGTATTTCAGGTGAGGGTTGTGAAGAATGGCCTTATGCGAGTAGGGGCCACTTCCAAGGTGAGAAGCAAAATTATACCTACAAAAGATGGGGAAAAGGTCGACTCACACCATGGAGTCCAAGCACAAAGTAAGAACCACCCAACCTTTCCTGCCTGCCACACTTAGGGTCACAACACCATTAGACACCTGGTTACTCCCACCTATACATTCTCTCTGGGATTTTCAGACAACGGACAAGCGCAGAAACCCAGCCTCTGGGTCCTCTCCTGTCTCTCCTAGTCCTTGCACATCTGCACACCACCATACACACTAGAAGTGAGGCGAGCCAGACTGATCCTGTATTAAATCCTAAGCACCGTCAGGACGGGGACACTATGCTTGCACCTCTTTGCATCTGCAGGTCCAGCATGGAGCCTAACATACAAGGGAGATGCAGTATTTGAGTCCATGCACAAGACTGCACTCCCCAAGGAAAGGATCCATTTGTTTAAAAACTATGGGGTTTTTTGTCCCTAAAGGAGACAATAATAATAACAACAGAAGACCATATCTGCAGTTGTTGAAGAACCAGGTTCCAGGGTTATAGAAAACTGGACTCTGGGCGCCTGGGTGGCTCAGTCGTTAAGCGTCTGCCTTCGGCTCAGGTCATGATCCCAGAGTCCTGGGATCGAGTCCCACATCAGGCTCCCTGCTCGGCAGGAAGCCTGCTTCTCGCTCTCCCACTCCCCCTGCTTGTGTTCCTGCTCTCGCTATCTCTCTCTCTGTCAAATAAATAAATAAAATCTTTAAAAAAAAAAAAAAGAAAACTGGACTCCAATTTTTGCTTTTCTCCTGGATACTTTTGCAAGGTTGGGCAAATACAGATTAACTTCTTAGTTTCTTCACGAAACAAATAGTATCATGATGGTTACAAAATTAAAATTTAGGGGTGCCTGGATGGCTCAGTCGGTTAAGCATCTGCCTTCAGCTCAGGTTATGAATTTAGGGTCCTGGGATCAAGCCTTGCATGGGGCTCCCTGCTCAGCAGGGAGTCTGCTTCTTCCTCTGCCTGCCACGTCCCCTGCTTGTGCTCTTTCTCCCTCTCTGTCAAATAAATAAATAAAACCTTTTAAAAAATTAAATTTAATTAATTAAATTAAATGTATTGTGGTGCCTGGAACATGACCAATGCATGTTGGCTTTGATCTGTAAAAGCCATATATGTATTATATTTTTATTTTATATTCATTTGTATGTGTTCATAAATGGAGACCACATAAAATGTGGCTCCTGGGGTCACAACTTGAGCACACCCTGACTTCTCCCCTCCTGATCAACTTTGAGAAGGGAGATTAAAACAAGCAAATATTGCACCACATTGAAACACCAGCATGGGAATTACGAACAGCCCAGAGACCAAAGACAGATGAGAAACAGACGGAGGAGGGAAATGACAGCCTGGAAGCCTTATGGCAATTTCTGGCAGAAATTGGGTCCCTAAATGTGGGCACTTCCTGCCCAGAGACGGAGGGAGCAGAGGGCTGGCAAGGGGGGTCTGCAGGGGATTGAGGGAGAGGGTCAGCACAGGCAGGGGAAGACAAGCTGGCCAGCTAGCAAGGAGACGAGGGGCGCCCATGATGTCTGGAAACCTGTGTGAGACACGGAGGTGAACAAGGGCAGCCCCCAAGCCACCTCATTCCTGAAAACACGGATTTGCCACCAGGCAGCTGCCACAGACTCCAACTTCGGGTGGCAGCACGGGCTGAGTCAGCAGAGAACGCTGGGGGAGTAATGGTGATCAAGAATCACCCCCATCTAAGCCATCGGACTCGTGGAAAGGAGACAAGCTAAAACAGAAGGGTTGACAATAACACAGTTGGTTCACTTTCTGCCTTCCTGAGAGTTAAGGAAAAGGAGTCTACAAAGCAAAAAAGCACAGGATCGCAATCCTCAGCACCCTGTGACATTCGTGAGCTAAGAGCCAAGCACCGCAGGGGCCAGATGGGCTCACCCCTGCCGACCCCTTCACCACCTGTGTGACCTTGGCCAAGCCCCTTCCGCTTCCAGGTCTCAGTTTCCCCATCTGTCGGGAGGAAAGGAAAGTGCCTACCCTTGGTAGGTTGTTGTGAGCACAGACTGAGTTAATGAATGGAACCCCTAGGGCAGGTACTAGACATGCCCAGTGCTCTCGTGCCCGTGAGCACCTTATCCTGCGTGAGAATTAGAGACCCTGCCTTTGGCCGTGGCTTCGACAGAGCAGTGGAGTCCAACAGTGGTCCGTGTGAAATCTACCTGAAATGATGGACAATCACTGATGAATTTTGCTGTTGGCACACAATGTTACATTAGTTCAGGTACACAACACAGTGATTGAGCATCTGTATGCCCTATGCTGTGCTCACAAGTGTGGGCACATCGGTCACCCTATTACAATACCATCGACCAGGGGCGCCTGGGTGGTTCAGTCGGTTAAGCATCTGCCTTGGGCTCAGGTCATGATTCTGGAGTCCTGGGATCAAGCCCTGCATCAGTCTCCCTGCAGCCGGGAATCTGCTTCTCCCCCAGCTCATGCTCTCTCCCCAGACCGTTCTCTCTCTCTCTCTCAAATAAACAAATAAAATCTTAAAAAAAAAATAGAATACCATTGACCATATTCCCTATGTTGCTTCCCTTATTCCTGTGACTTCACTAGAAACCTGTATAATGAGCTTGCTAATCTCTTTTTTTTTTTAAGATTTTATTTATTCAAGAGTGAGTGAGAGAGAGAGCAAAAGCAGGAGGAGTGGCAGGCAGAGGGAGAAGCAGGCTCCCCGCTGAGCAGGGAGCCCAACATGGGACTTGATCCCAGGACCCCGGGGAACATGACGTGAGCTGAAGGCAGACACTTAAACAACTGATCCACCCAGGCGCCCTAGCCTGTTAATCTTTCTTTAAAGTTTTAGGTCCAGGGCACCTGGGTGGCTCAGTCGTTGAGCGTCTGCCTTCGGCTCAGGTCATGATCCCAGGGTCCTGGGATCGAGCCCCGCATCGGGCTCCCTGCTCAGCGGGAAGCCTGCTTCTCTCTCTCCCACTCCCCCTGCTTGTGTTACTGCTCTCGCTCGCTCTCTCTCTGTCAAATAAATAAATAAAATCTTAAAAAAATAAAATAAAATAAAATAAAGTTTTAGGTCCAAACCCTATAAAAATCTAAGTTTATCTTGATGACATTAAGACAAATGGATTCAAGTTTTTACCTCCCTATTAGGGCAGAAGTAAGCAATTCTGATAGTTTTCCTGAACTTAAACACAACTCCCAAAAGTTACTTATACTTTAGTAACCATTTGTCAGTTCTACAATTGAAAGGGTCCCAGTAAGTGCCAGGAAAATTAAGTTAAACAAACTTCCCACAGGCATCCATTATATTGAAATTGGTAAACTAGTAGGGATAAAGAAGAATCTGAAACACTACCAGAGGAATTTTTTTTTTTAAAGAAATGACCTACAACTGAACAAGAATGAAAATGGTGTCAATCTCTGTATCTGCAAGTAAAATGAGTCAGGCAGAGAAAGACAAATACTGTGTGTTTCCACATTTATGTGGAATCTAAAAACTAACTCCTAGATACAGAGAACAGATTGGTGGTGGTCAGAGGTGGGGGCAGAGGGGTGAAGGGGGTCAAAACATATGAACGTCCAGTTATAAGATAAATAAGTCCTGGAAATATAATGTACAGCAAGGTGACTACAGTTGATAAAACTGTCTTGTATATTTGAAAACAGCAAGAGAATGTAATGTATGGGGATTAACATAAGAATAAAAAAAAAGTTAAAAATAGAAAAAAAAAAGAAAGCAGCAAGAGAGTAGATCTTCAAATTCTCTTAAAGTTCTTTTTTTTAAGATTTTATTTATTTATTTGAGAGAGAGAGAGAGAGAGAGAGTGCGAGCAAGCATGAGCCGGATGAGGGGCAGAGGGAGAAGCAGGCTCTCTGTTGAGCAGGGAACCCAATGCGGTCCTCAATCCCAGGACTCCAGGATCATGACCTGAGCCAAAGGCAGTCGCTTAACCGTCTGAGCCACCCAGGCACACCTCTTAAAGTTCTAAAGAAAAAAAAAAATGTGTGGAAGATAAGGAATAGTATGGAGGACATTAGGAGAAGGAAGGGAAAAATGAAGGGGGGGTTATCGGAGGGAGAGATGAACCATGAGAGACGATGGACTCTGAGAAACAAACTGAGGGTTCTAGAGGGGAGGGGGGTGGGAGGATGGGTTAGCCTGGTGATGGGTATTGAGGAGGGCACGTTCTGCATGGAGCACCGGGTGTTATATGAAAACAATGGATCGTAGATCACCACATCAAAAACTAATGATGTATTGTATGGTGGTGACTAACATAACATAATAAAATAAATACATACATACATACATTTAAAAATTTTTTTTTAAATTTAAAAAAATGTGTCACTCTGTGAAGTGAAGCACCAGATCACTTCACAATGTATACATTTATCAAATCATCAGGTCATACACCTAAAACTAACACGGTATTATATATAAATTATACCTCCATAGGGCGCCTGGGTGGCTCAGTTGGTTAAGCGACTGCCTTCGGCTCAGGTCATGAACCCGGAGTCCCGGGATCGAGTCCCGCATCGGGCTCCCTGCTCGGCGGGGAGTCTGCTTCTCCCTCTGACCCTCCCCCCTCTCATGTACTCTCTCTCTCTCTCATTCTCTCTGTCTCAAATAAATAAATAAATAAATAATCTTTAAATTATACCTCCATAAAACTGGGGAGAAAATCTCTACTCTACAAAGCTGGATTTGAGAAATAAACCAATAGACTCAAAGAAATAAGGAAAAAACATCTCCAATATTCAATGTGCATTCTCATCATTCAAGGGTACCATTAAAAGGGAGAGGATGTTAGTCTCAAATTTACTCCAACTTTGGACTCATAGAGTCTCTTGGAAAAGCCACTGGACACAATGATGTAGAAAGAACAATGAACTCAACTGGACAGAACAAGACACAGAAGCATGAATAAGCTAAGAAATCAGTGAAGTTGTCCAAAGTGGCCACACATTCTTCAGTAACAATTTGCTGTTTTGTGATACCTACATGAGAGGTAGCATTGGTGTAAGATGGGAGGTGGGTAAGTAACAGAAGAAAGGCCCACACTCTAAAGGCATTCCCAGAGAAAGATACAGATACTTATTGACACAAGATCTTCTGCTTTAAAGGATGATCCTTAAACTATGCAACCACCACAAACTACCTGTGCCCTCTCTTCATCCAGCAAATCCTGACCTTCCAACCGTGGGCCAAGGTGTGTGGAGGGTATAGCTGTGAATGGAATGGTCCAGGACCAGGCACTCACAGAACTTATCATCCCATACTCAGGAGAGATGCAAGACAAAGCGGAAGACACAATTTCATGACAAGAGCCACAGGATGCAGTTATGGAGTGACTGGGGTGGGGGTTGCTCAGTTTGGGGGAGTGATGGTCAGAGAAAGCATTTGGAAGCGCTTGCCAAGCAGAAGTCTAGAGAAAGACTGTCCAGAAACGAGGAGAGCCAGAACAAAGTTTCCAAAGCAGAAATGAGCTTGGTCAAGGGCTTAAAAGAGAGTTACCGTCCTCAGGCCACAGCCTGATGTGGAGAATAAACAAGGGGGAAGGAAGGGATCAGACCACATGGCCATGCTCTTCTCTTCACGCCCAATAGAATTTTTTTTCCTAGTTATGGGAAATCAGGGAAAGGATTTTAAGGTGTATGTTATTTTTTAAGATTGCTCTGGCTTGTATATGGAAGAAAGAAAACACATATTGATGGAAGACAAAACAGGATCCAAGACACTGAGGCAGAGGTGATTGGAGTGACCATCCCAGGTGAGTGGTGCTGGTTTCTGGAGGTCAGGTGGCAGCTGCAGAGACTGAGAGAAAGGGATGGATTCCCTGGCTCACAGAGGGGTTATGGCCCAAGGAATCACAGACAGATTGGTCTATTCCCAAATACAATTACCTCCCACATTCCTCAAACCCCATGCCTGGACAGAGATTGGATTTGAAGTTCAGGGAATGAGCCAGCCTCCCCATTCTTTATTCATCCTAGCAATTACACTGTTTTTGGTTTTTTTAAGATTTCTTTTTATTTATTTGAGAGAGAGAGAGCACAAGCAGAGGGGAGGGGCAGAGGGAGCCCGATGTGGGGCTCGATCCCAGGACCCTGTGACCAGGACCTAAGCCAAAAGCAGACGCTTAACAGACTGAGCTACCCAAGCTTCCCTCAATTACACTGTTTTAAAATCGCATGTATAGGAGAAGAAAGAGAAGGAATACTGTTTCTTGATTCCAAGACATATGGCTAGATATTTGGGAGGACAAATGGCCAAACTCATCATCTCTATCTTGTTTGACCACTTAAAAATGAATCCAGTGATATTAAAGCTAAAGCTAAAGAACTTTAGGTATAATACCAATGACTGGTTTCCATGTACACTGTGAAGAGAAACTCTCTTCCTCATTTTGCAACCTGAGGGAAGACATGCACAATTTAATTCATGCCTTCACCTGGATGTCTCGAATTACTCATCTCCTTCATGTGGTCATCACATTGACCGCATCTAAATTCACCAATAAAATTAATTAATTAATTAATTCACCGACAGACTGCTCACTTTCGAGCCCACTCACAACCTCTCCCTTGCTATACTATTCCTCATATCTGGCACTAAAATTCATATGCTAAAAGCCCATTTATGAGCACACCAGTCCCCTACTTTATCTTTAACACATTTCCCAGAAGAAAACAAAAGTTCAATGACCCACATTTTACTCTGTGTGGGGTATTTACCAGTTCATTTCTGAGTCAGTTTCCTTATCTGAAATAAAGAACCCATTTTCATAATACAGGGATCCATTCATTCATTCAACAGATATTTAATGAGCCCCTACAAAGCTCTGTGTTTTGCTAGCTGGTGGAGATATGAGGACAAAGAGGTATCACCTCTCCCATCATGGTGGTGTACTCAGCACAGAAACACTGTCCCCAAGACCTCCCCTGGCTTCAGTGACCTGCTAGGACCCACAGGACTTGGCATATAGTTGCACTCGTGGCTATGATTGATTACAGTGCAAAGACAGAAAGCAAAATCCGCAAAGGAAAAAGGCACAAGGGCAAAATCCAGAGGAAACTAGGCGCAAGCTTCCAAGGGTCTTTGCCAATGGAGTCGCCATTGGACGTGCTAAATTCCCCCAGCAACACACTGTGACAATGCATGTGAAAAGTCAGCTACCAGGGATGCTTGTTGGAGACTCAGCACCCAGGGTGTTTATCGGGATGGTCAGAGGCACCCACTGCCCAGCACGAGCCAAAATCTCAGACTCACAGAAGGAAAACAAGTCTTCAGCATAAACCACATTGTTTACACAGTATGGGAACAGTGAGCCCTTCTTATCAGTTAGGGTGGTGGGAATTCTCCCCAAAACCCAAGTTCCAACATGCCAGCCAAGAGCCAACCTAGTAAGCAGGCCTTTCTAAGGACAATAGTCTCAGACCTACTATATTAACTCTTCTGCACAAAGACAGCAACCAATAATTAGATGTGTGATAACTATGACCAAAAAAAGACATATAAAAGGTGCTTTGGGGGGGCGCCTGGGTGGCTCAGTCGGTTAAGCGACTGCCTTCGGCTCAGGTCATGATCCTGGAGTCCCGGGATCGAGTCCCACATCAGGTTCCCTGCTCAGCGGGGGGTCTGCTTCTCCCTCTGACCATCTTCCCTCTCGTGCTCTCTGTCTCTCATTCTCTCTCTCTCAAATAAATAAAATCTTAAAAAAAAAAAAAGTGCTTTGGGAGCATAGAAAATCTTCCATGAAGAAGTGAGCTTTGGGGCACCTGAGTGGCCCAGTAGGTTAAGTGGTCGACTCTTGATTTCGGCTCAGGTCATAATCCCAGGGTCCTGGGACCGAGCCCCACTTTTGGGCTCCCTGCTCAGCAGGGAGTCTGCTTGAGATGCTCCCTCCCTCGGCCCCTCCCCCCCACTCTCTCAAATAAGGAAATAAATCTTTAAAAAAAAGGAAGTGAGCTTTGAGCTGAAGGAGGAGTTACATTTAAGCTGAAAGAAATAAACTTCTGGGGGTGAAGAGAAGAACATGACCCAGGCAAACCCAGATATCCAAAGCACCAGGGAGTAGCTGTGTGCTCCTCTGGGCTTCTGGGTGTGATCTATATTAAGGTGACAGTGAGACCGTTTGAGGATTAAAAGGAAACAATACAGATAAGGAATGTGCCTAAAGCGGCCAGCTCTGTGCTAAAGAGCTGTTTTATAAATGCTGCCTAGTCTCTATGTCTATTCTTATTATTTTTCTCCTTCATGAACTTAAGGCTATTTTCCCATTGGTCCCTTCGTTACCTGGGAAACATCTATTCACCCATCAACATCCCAGCAGGTGTCACCAAATTCCCTCTGTGGCTCTCCAACCACTACATTTAAAACATCTGTTAGAGTTGGGGCACCTGGGGGGCTCAGTCGTTAAGCGTCTGCCTTCAGCTCAGGTCATGATCTCAGGGTCCTGGGATCAAGCCCCACATAGGGCTCCTTGCTCAAAGGGGAGTCTGCTTCTTTCTCTGCCTCTGCCCTTCATTCTGCTCATGTTCTAATAAATAAATAAAATCTTGGGCTCCTGGGTGGCTCAGTTGTTAAGCATCTGCCTTCGGCTCAGGTCATGATCCCAGGGTCCTGGGATCGAGCCCCGCATCAGGCTCCCTGCTCAGCGGGAAGCCTGCTTCTCCCTCTCCCACTCCCCCTGCTTGTGTTCCCTCTCTCGCTGTGTCTCTCTCTGTCAAATAAATAAATAAAATCTTTAAATAAGTAAATAAAACATCTGTTAGAGAAAAACTCCCAAACGTACCCCCAAACCAAAACACACATGGTCATGTAATCCAAACGAAAGACTGATGTCCCTGAAATGCATACTCTGCTTTAAAAACTTACACTTTCTTTGTGCCACCGTGAACTTGTAGCTTTCTACTAACAGGCTACGCGCAAGTGAGCTGGTGCGCTGAGAAGGGGAGTGCTCTCTGGCGCAGAAAGCCAAGCACTTCCCCATTAGTGCTTAGAAACTGACCTGTGGTGACTGGGGACTGAGCCCCTTGACAATGTTTGGTTCTGAAGTCCCCCCCCCCCATTTGCCAACAGTTTCTTCTTGCTCAATATAACACCGGTATCAGGGCAAGTGATCCAAAACTTTTCTTGAGACATTGGATTGTAGCTCTGTGCTTACACATTGGCCTTTCCAAAAAAGCCAGAGTAGAAAGAGTGAAACTCAGCTATTTAAAGAACGGTTAACATCCAACTTACATGAACTTTTGGAGTTTACAAACAGGCTGAGCCAGAGCCTTACAGAGAATCGCCAGGGAGGCTTCACTGAAATTACAGCTGTCCAAATCTAACATCTGGAAGTTCTTGTTGGTGGTGAACACAGAGCAAAGGTCTCGCCAGAAGGAGAGCTTCTTACTGAGACTACGGGGAGAACAAAGACTGGGACTCTCCAATGGCTCAAAGCAACTCAACACGTTCACAAAACAAGCAGAACGCCATTTTCAGGGCCCCTCAAAGCTGACGCATGGACACCCATGCCCGAACAAGGAGGGGGCAGCCAGGTACACTGAGTCAATATGGCCTAGTGGTTAAGGAAATGGACCCTGATGCCAGAGTAATTGGGATCAAACCCCATCTGAACCACTTATTAGCTGTGTGACCCTGGACAAGCTACTCAACCGTATTCAGTCTATACTTCTTCCTCCGTTAGGTAACAATGCTTAGTTGTGGTGTAAATGAAGGTTGGTATTTGGTGATCCACCAGTGAAATGGAGAACTATATCCAAAAATAAGAACATACAGGTATAAAATAAAGCCTTGGGGATGTCATGTACAGCCTGGTGACCGTAGGTAATAATACTGTACTACCTATCTGAAAGTTGCTAAGAGAGCAGATCTTTTTTTTTTTTTTAAGATTTTATTTATTTATTTGACAGAGAGAGAATGAGAGACAGAGAGCATGAGAGGGGGGAGGGTCAGAGGGAGAAGCAGACTCCCTACCGAGCAGGGAGCCCGATGCGGGACTCAATCCCGGGACTCCAGGATCATGACCTGAGCCGAAGGCAGTCACTTAACCGACTGAGCCACCCAGGCGCCCACTAAGAGAGCAGATCTTAAAAGTTCTCATCATGGGGCACCTGGCTGACTCAGTCAGAAGAGCATGTAACTCTTGATCTTGGGGTCATGAGTTCGAGCCCCATGTGGGGTATAGAGTTTACTTTAAAAAAAGTTCTCATCACAAGAAAAAAAAATTGTGTAATTATGCGTGGTGACGGCTGTTAACTAGACATATCGTGGTGATCATTTTGCAACATATACAAATACTGAATCATGATGTTGTGCACCTGAAACTCGTATAATGTTATGTGTCAATTATACCTCAATTTAAAAAACTAAGGGCGCCTGGGTGGCTCAGTTGGTTAAGCGACTGCCTTCGGCTCAGGTCATGATCCTGGAGTCCCAGGATCGAGTCCCACATCGGGCTCCCTGCTCGGCAGGGAGTCTGCTTCTCCCTCTGACCCTCCCCCATCTCATGCTCTCTCTCTCTATCTCATTCTCTCTCTCAAATAAATAAATAAAATCTTTAAAAAAAATTTTTTTAAACTAAAAACCAAAAGTGTGACCGTGAAAGGTGATATATTTTTTTTTTTGGAGGAGTAAAAATAATTTATTAATAGACTATCAGAACTGAAGTGTGAGTTGGTAATCTGAACCAGCTGGTGAAAAGACACAGGTTAGACCAGCAAAGAGGAGAAGCCCAAGGAAACCACTCACAAGCTTCCAAGAGTCCCTTCCTGATAGATACGCTCAAATGCTATGGGGGCAGGGGGAAGCATAGTCATGGCAACAATAAAAGCTGCTTACCTTTCAACCTCATACTGGCCCCACCAAGTAGGTAAAGTGTCACGCTTCTTTATACAGAAAAACTTAAGAAGTTACTGTTCTTGGTGACACAGCTAGCAAATGCCAGAGCCAGAATTCAAAGCGAAGTCTCTCTGGTTACAAAAGCCATGGGTTTCGGGGGGCGGTTTTTTTAAGTATAAGGATCCATGAAGTATCCACTGGGACCTGAAACAAGCAACAAGTATGGCGTGTGTGGCATGGGGCGTGGGAGAGATTATAGATGGACTCACTTTGTGCTGGATCCAGAGTCATCTGAGAAGACATTTTCTATACACAGGTGAAGTTTCTGCAAGTTTTGACAAAGTTTTAGGCAGAATGCAGATATCACCAAGTCTTCTGTGTTACCAATATAAATACTAACTTCCTCAAAGAAATCCATCACTTGTGCTACAAACTCTTTTTCATGGGTCTCAAACAAACTGCTGAACAATTCCTGGAAATTCACCACCTCCTGACCAGAGTTATGCTGACTTAAACTTTTAAGGCATCGGGTTATTTCCTGCTTTATCTCTTTGGCCAGGAGAAAACCAAAGGATGTCTCCAGCATGTTGGTTATTTTTTCAGTTGAAAATGCAAACAAGAATGTTATCATCTGGGACAAGTGGCCTTGGACCTGACTCGTGCTTGCTGTCACAAGCTGGGTCACACTTCCAATGGCCGGGTTAGGATTGTCCTTGGGTTCTTTGAGCAGATAGAACATGGAGGCACAAAACTGTCGGAGGCACACATGTATGAAGGGAAAGCATTCGTCATCCCTTGAAGAGTCTCATGCCCATCCACATCAAGGCATCGGACTCAGATACCCCATTCCTCCTGAGGTCCCATGGCAAAACACAAACATGCGAGTCCATATTCCCTCTGCAGCCAAGGAACACAGGCCTTGCAGTCGGGCTCTGCTCTGCTTCGGTGGACAGTTCTCATTTCTTGATTTGAATACACTAATAAAAAAGGATGCATACAAAGAAGCGGTGCTTTCAGACACAATGTCAAGGTCTTCTCCTCTCTCCAGCGGCCATTTCATACAAGTACAGACCCGCCAGCATACCAGAGGATTATGACAGAAGAGAAACAGCGGCATATTGCCCCTCACAAAACTGAAGGCTTTCAGGGCTTTGCTCCTCTCGCGGAAGAAATGGTAGAAATACAGCTTCTTTTCATGTTCAGAGAATCCTGAGAGGGTTATGTATTTTGGACACTGCAACAAGAAATTTTTTCTCATGCCCACTATTCCCAATGCAATAAGCAGAGAAGACTCTGGAAGCATTTTTTTCTGCAGCAAACTGCTCAGGATAATCTGCATTGGCTGTCGCTGTCTCTGGTCATCGCACAACTGAGTCATTTGCTCCAAGTCAAATTTCAGTTCCTCAAAGCTATCCATGATGAACAGGATCCTCTCCAGCTGAGAGAAGATGTCCTCGTCTGGCTCTGAAGACTGAGGCCAGTCCCTGGAGATGAGCTCCACGAAGCTGGTCTTGGTCATAGCGTTCATTTCACAGCCATTGAGGAAGAAGATAAATGTGAATCTGTCCTTCCATAGGTTCCCCTCTGCCCATTCCAGCATCACTTTTCTCAAAAGTGTTGTTTTCCTGATTCCCTCTGACCTTGCAAGACCACAGTGGGTGAAGGCTCTCCTGCCTGGCTGGTGCATGCAGCTTTTCATACTCATACTTTGTGATTTCTTTGTAGAAATCATTGGGAACCAGAAGGCAGGTTTCCTTTTCCCATAGGAGGTGGAATTTTTCCTTCATGTGATTTCTGTATGGGTTGGGTTTATCTGAGTTCACAGGGAGAAAATACAAGACAATTGGGCGCCTGGGTGGCTCAGTTGGTTAAGCGACTGCCTTCGGCTCAGGTCATGATCCTGGAGTCCCAGGATCGAGTCCCGCATCGGGCTCCCTGCTCTGCAGGGAGGCTGCTTCTCCCTCTCCCGCTCCCCCCTCTTGTGCTCTTTCTCTCTCTCTCTCTCTCAAATAAATAAAAATTAAAAAAATAAAATCTTTAAATAAAAAAAAGAAAATACAAGACAATTAAAAAGTGCACTCGTTGACACTCAGAATGACCCTTAGAGATTTACTTGTGCACATATGTAAAGACTACTGCATGTCCACGGATGACCAGGCTCATTAACTTTGTTTTTGTTAGGACCATAATTTATCTAAAATCATGTCCGTGGAAGCACTTGACCAAAACTGGAAGCCTGTCTCAGAGTTATAGGCTACATAGTGTGAATTCCATTCCAAACCAGAAGGGGGGTGGTCACATCTCCCCAGTAAAGAATCCACAAGCACTATATCATTTACTTAGTGTCCGCCGGGAACCAGGGTTGAGAATGTCCCTACCGATACCATGTCTTCCATGTCAATAACTCATCAAGACTCATTCTACTCCCACTTTACCAAAAAAGTGTTGGGAGAATATATCACTTGATTAATTTGCACTAGTGAATAAATATCAGGGTCAGGTGTCTGTCCCACATCTGTCTGACTTGAAACAATAAGCGATTTCTGTTCCACCATGCTGATCACAGGTTAATTTCAGAAACCAACCCCTGAACCATCATGCATTCAACCCGCCCTTATGATGTACCTTCCATGTTCAAGGCACCACATTATGGGAGGTCAAGAAAATTACAAAAGTGGACAAGGATCATACCCTGCACCAGAGAAATATATGCCACACTAGGTGAGGAATTTCTGCATGCCTTCCAAGCAAAGGGCACTAATGGTTTTGTTCAGGGATGTATGACTAGAAAACATTCTTGGGATGTACCAATGGTCCTTCCTCTCTCTGGGGCAAAGGAAGATTTGTTTCTAAAAACAGGTCTTTCTTTCCCCTCTGGAGAAATTCAGAGATGTCTCTCACTCTCTGGAGACATGCTAGGGTAACAAAGCTAGTATCTGTCTCTGGAGGGCAGGGGACAGGGCTGTCAGCAGGCATCACCTAAGATCAGGATCTCTGACTCTCTAGGTTCCTATGACACAGATCTGCCTGAGCTCACCTCCATAGGCCCCTGATGAGAGATTCAAGGGATGAGAGGAATGGACATGAGCATGAATCTCATGTTCCTGTTGTGGGTGAGCAATGAACCTTCTAAATCCATCTGGGCTCATTATGTCCTTTCAGACCAAACTTATGGACATGTGGCAAGCTGACCTAACAGTGGCTTGCTGCTTAGGAACTGCCTGAAAATGGGGAAACACCCCTTAGATGAGCAGGACACTACCCATCCACAGTCCATCACTAGCCCATGTATGCCCAGAGTTGGCTTGCAATTCCTCCATGACCTCCAAGCCTCCCTCAACCCACAACACATTCTCAATTGATGGAGGATGGCCACCAACTCAATAACATCACCTTCATTCTTACAAGCTCCCAGCAGACCAACCTTCCTCCGTAGGTCACTGCCCCTTCACCCTGCACTTACTTCTGATCTCCTCCTGAGCCTTTGTCCAGAGGTCACGCCGATCGATCTGTAGAAATAGGTTCAGGGTCACCTCCCATGCCCACTTTCCTCGGTAATGCTTGTCCAACAACTTCGCTAGATCTTCTCTTGAAGCCTTCTTTAACTCAGTCCACGGGATTGGCTTGAGGTCAAGTTGCAGAGGCTCTTGTTTGAGGAGCGCCTTAAATTTCCAGAACTCTTCCTCTCTGAGCTCCTCCAGGTACCACAGCAAGCCAAAGTCCGAAAAAAGGGACTCAGTCATCTTGTCCTGGGATTGTGAGCTTGGAAATCTCCAGAGGAAAAAAATCTTCAAAAACAAGGAATAAGGGACGCCTGGGTGGCTCAGTTGGTTGGGCGACTGCCTTCGGCTCAGGTCGTGATCCCGGAGTCCCAGGATCGAGTCCCGCATCAGGCTCCCTGCTCGGCAGGGAGTCTGTTTCTCCCTCTGACCCTCCCCCCTCTCATGCTCTCTCTCTCTCATTCTCTCTCTCAAATAAATAAATAAAATCTTTAAAAAAAAAAAAAAACAAGGAATAAGTAGTACCTGAGGGAGAATGATGTGATTACAGAGATAAATCTCAGTAGTTGGTAGTGGCTTAGAATTATTGATATCCTGCATTTCCTGCTTAAAACATATCTTGGCCAGCTTCACTTCATCCTTCCTCTTTTTCCACGGCCGTACACATGAATTCAGTGCTAGCAACTAAAAATGTAGTTTACACTAAACCAGGTGGCAGGGAGAAGTGTAATTACCTAAAACCATAATAAAGCATTGAAGTTTATCAGTGGGCCATGGAAGGAGGAGTTAGAATAGTTCTGTCCTAGTGCTCACCACTGTGTGTATCTCTGGGGACGCTTCTGAGAAAAGCTGTTGACTTGGTGTCATTGTGGGAGCTTCTATCTAAAATTCAAAAGGTCATGTTTACTGAACATTCCTTAAAGGAGAACAGTTTCTGACCTGGCTTTACTAAGTTATGAAGACTTTAAAATTTCAAAAACCTGGGGCGCCTGGGTGGCTCAGTGGGTTAAGCGTTTGCCTTCAGCTCAGGTCATGATCTCAGGGTCCTGCATTGGGCTCCCTGTTCAGTGGAGAGTCCGCTTCTCCCTCTGCCCCTCCCCCCGCTCATGCTCACTTGAGCTCTCTCAAATAAATAAATAAAATCTTTTAAAAATATATCAAAAACCTAAAGCTATGTCTTTGGGGGCATGAAGGTTTTGCTGAATCCCTGCAAGATAGGAAACAGGGGTGCACCTGGGTGGCTCAGTCATTAAGCGTCTGCCTTCGGCTCAGGTCATGATCCCAGGGTTCTGGGATAGAGCCCCGCATCGGGCTCCCGCTCGGCGGGAAGCCTGCTTTTCCCCTCCCGCTCCCCCTGCTTGTGTTCCCTCTCTCACTGTGTCTCCCTCTGTCAAATAAATAAATAAAATCTAAAAAAAAAAAAAAAAAGATAGGAAACAGGGAGCTGTGACTAAGGGGGAAAAAAATCCAAATTTCAAAAGAGCAGGAAAAATGAATCCCAAGGCACTCCAGCTTATATACTGTGCTCCTGGACAGAAAGAAGAAACTCTGGACAGCCATCTCAATGATGGGCAAGGAAGTACATTTCAAACAGCACTCAGCACAAAGAGAAAGGATGAAATGTTTAGATACTGTTAATAACTCCAGAAATCCCAACATCCATCTTATTGAAGTTCCAAAGAAAAGAAACAAAAACAAAAAGAACAGAGGGAACAGCAAGAAAGAAAGAATTCATGGAAGAAATACCTGCAGATCTATCTGAAAAACAGATTTGCATCTTTAGGATAAAAGATTTTGCCAAGTGTTAAGGGGAAAATAAAATATTATATCATATGAACTTCAATTTCAAAGATAAAGAAGAAAAATCTAGAGTCTAGATGAGTACTGCCCAATTGCAATATAATGTGAACCTTGCTTGTAATTTTAAATTTTTGAGTAGATTCATTAAAATTCTCCCACAAACAGGGATAATTCGTTTTAATACTATTTAACCTAGTCTATCTAAAATATCAATTCAACATGTAAACAATATTTTTTAAGTTTTATTTATTAAGCAATGTCTACCCCCAATGTGGGGCTCGAACTCACAACCCCAAGATCAAAGTCGGATGCTCTTCCAACTGAGCCAGCCATGCACCCCTGTAAACAATATTTCAAAAAAATCAGGGGCGCCTGGGTGGCTCAGTCAGTTAAGCATCTGCCTTCAGCTCAAGTCATGATCCCAGGGTCCTGGGACTGAGCCCCACATCAGGCTCCCTGCTCAGCAGGAAGCCTGCTTCTTCTACCTTTCCCTCTGCCGCTCCCCCTGCTTGTGCTCTCTCTCTCTGTGTCAAATAAATAAAATCTTTTTAAAAAATCAATGAAAAGATGCTTTAAATTGTTTCAAATACTTCATTAAAGTATTTTATTATAAGAAAAAATCAATGAAATATTTTACCTGTTTTTTTAATACTAAGTCTTTAAAATCCATTGAATATCTAAATTGTCATTGGAAATACTTGATCTCTATCTAGATTTCATAAAATATGCAAAAGAAAGGTAAATTTTCCTACCCAAGCTATCTCATACACACATAAGCTTTCTAGAAACTGAATGGCGGGGGTGTGCCTGGCTGGCTTAGTTGGAGAACCAGGCAACTTTTGATCTCGGGGTCATGAGTTCAAGCCCCACATTGGGTGTAGATATTACATAAACAAACAAACAAACAAGCAAGCAAACTTTTAAAAAGTTTAGAAAATGAAAACTGAACGTGACTAGTGAAAAAGAACAAGGAAAAAAAAGGAAAAAAGGAAAAAAAAGAAAATGAAAACTGAATAGAGTATCAGTTTTAAAGTTAAAATTTGCATTAATTAAAATTAAAAGTTCAGTTCCTCAGTCTTATGGGATACATTCTAGGTGCTTAGTCATCAGCTATCATTCCAGATGATGCAGATCTAAACTCCCAGAAATGTAAGTCATTTCCTACCAAGAAGGGGTGATATTCAAATTATTTAACAATTTAATTTTTAATAACCACGACACGCACATTCCCAAACAATGCTCTAAATATCATTTTTGTCTACAAGAGGTTAGGAATTAGTTTGTGAGGACCTTTAATGACAACACTGACTATAAGTGAAGAGTAAACAGAAGAACTCTGCCAAGGATTTAGACAGTTATTGATCAAGGCTTCTCTACCAAGTGACATCTTCCCTTCATGCATAAAAGTCAACCATTTCAGGCATGAAGAAATTCGTGGTTTTACCATCCAAAATTCTCCTCTGAACAAGCAGAGGATATACTCAAACAAAATAAAACGTTATTAAGGAGGGCACGTGTTGTGATGAGCACTGGGTGTTATACGCAACTGATGAATCGTTGAACACTACATCAAAAACTAATGATGTACTATACGTTGACTAATTGAACATATAAAAAAATAAAAATAAAACATTAATCAAGAAGTTGGGAAGATACCAGGGGCACTTCTGCTACAACCAGGAACAAAGGTGAGGGTGGCCAGGATGCCCACTATGGCTACTACCCCTCGACACTGGGTACTACTGGTCTGTAGAAGCAAACAGCTAAGAGACACCGATTGGAAACACCAAGTTTTGAAAAGAAATAAAATCATCTCTCTTTGCAGATGACATAAGAGTAGACCTGGAAGGGCGCCTGGGTGGCTCAGATGGTTAAGCGACTGCCTTCGGCTCAGGTCATGATCCCAGAGTCCTGGGATCGAGTCCCGCATCGGGCTCTCTGCTCCTTGGGAGCCTGCTTCTCCCTCTGCCTCTCTCTCTCTCTGTCTCTCATGAATAAATAAATAAAATCTTAAAAAAAAAAAAAAGAGTAGACCTGGAAAACCCCAGAGATTCAATGATAAAATTCATATTATAAAAAAATTCACTAAAGTGCTAAAAAAGTAGATCTTTAAAAGATCTCATCGTGGGGCGCCTAGCTGGCTCAGTTGGTAGAGCATGTGACTCTTGATCTCAGGGTCGTGGGTTCCAGCCTCTCACATCGGGTATAGAGCTTACTTTGAAAGAGAAAAAAAGTTCTCAAGGCAAGAAAAAAATGTTATAACTATGTGTGGTGATGGGCGCTAACTAGACTTAATGTGGTGATCATTTCACAATATATACAAATAGATACAAATATATCAAGTCGCTATGTTGTACACCTAAAACTAATACAATGTCAAATATCAATTACATCTCAAATAAAAAAATTTTAATTCACTAAGGCATCAGGATGTACAATTGACACACAGAAATTATTAGCTATCATATAGACAATGCCCAGTCGGAGAATTTAGGGTAGAGAAAATCCCATTTATAATAACAACGGAGAAAATAAAATACTTAGGAATAAGTTTAACAAGATATGTACAAATCCATATGAAGAAAATTTTAAAACACTCAAAATAATGAAGACGACACTGAAAGAAAAAACAGGGGGTAGACATTAAAACATACTCTTAATGCACCTGCAATTAAATCATAGTGGTACTCACAAATGACGAGAAAAACAGATCAGTGGAATAAAGAATAAACTACAGAAATAAACCAATCACATGTGGACATTTAGTAACTGATAAAGCATGCATTTCAAATCACAAGTGCAAAGGCAGACTTGTTGACAAATAGTTCAGACACAATTTGTTAGCCAGCTAGAAAGAGTTAACGTGAAATTTCAAGCCTCACCCCCTATTCAGGAATAAACTACACGTGGATCAGTAATCTAAATGTAAAAAGTGAAAACCTACAAGTATTAAAAAAAATGTGAATTCTCTTGCAACCTGGATATAGGAAGAATTTTCCAATTATGACTTATAATCCCATACAATAAAAGTTGGGGTTTTTTTTTAAGTCCATATGGAATACAAATGGTGGAGAAAAAAGCAAAAATGATAAGAGTAACTTCTGTTTAAGTTTGTAGGCATGCAACATCATAAATAAAAAAGCACATAAAGCACACGCCTAGTTTTTGAATTTCCAGGAAATCCAGTGTAACCACAACCAGATCAAGAAATCACACCTTATGTGGCCCTTGCTTTATAATCTCTTCCAAGAGACCACCACTATTTTCATATTTATTTTTAGGAGTTGTGTTTTATAATTTTAAAACAAATATGTATTCCAAACAAGGTAGCTTGGTGTCATATGATTATTTTTGGTGAATGGAACAATAAATTCTTTTCTATCTGGTCTCCTTTGCTTGCCATTATATTTGTGAGATTCACCCACGTAGACATAAGTGGTTCATTTGGATTGTTTGTATAGTAGTCCCCCGTCAGCATTCCACTG